CCACCAGCTTCCTCTGCACGGCCGAGAAGTAAGCCGAGTGAACGGTAACCCTAAGCTGCTGCACGGCATTGCGGTATTGTTCTTCAAAAGAGCGATATACTGACTTCAATACCTGGTTGTTGGAGGTAAATGGAGGCAAGCGCCGACCCTGACGAGCCGATGCTTGACTGTGGCCAGATGACCCCCTAGGGCGACCGAGGCATAGATGCACTTGTCAACCACCGGCAGGTCGAACAGAGCAGCTTCTCCCATCAAGTAGCGACGGCTAAGCTTCTGGAGATCGAAGCGTGACCTGCTACCTGACAAGAGAGGATTAATAACCTCACTTATGAGTGAAGGTAATATACGCAAGTTGGTCTCTGCGACCCGACACAGAGCAACTCCCCAGTGAGGCGAAACTCCGCGGGGTCGGGGCCGTCCGAAGGAACGACCACCTGCGGCAACACAGTAGCAATGTGATCCCGCACTTGCCGCAGGGACGGGCTGAGCGAGAAGTTACCTTCCCCCGACATCTCCTGCCCCCCGCCCTCATCCATGGCTTCCTCCTCCAGCTCCTCCAGGAGTGAACTCTCAGTATCAAGAGTCACCTCCGAAGTCACGGAAGTCGGTTCCACAGACAAGGCCAACGGAGCAAAAAGAGCCGAGGTGCCTGGCTCGACCGACCCTAGGCTCGAGGCGCCTGGCTCGACCGACCCTAGGCTCGAGGCCGAACCTAGTCGCCGAGCACCGAGGGAAGTGCCTGCCGAAGCAAGATTCCCCAGGGCCCTGGAGGGCACCGAGGCGATCGGCAACACCAACGCTCGAGTACCCCCAGCTTGGGTGCTGGTTCCCAACGGTACAGGACCCGAAGGACCAGCGCCGGTGAGTTGGACTGTACCGGAGCCGAGGCTCGGGTCAGACACAACTGCACCGACAGAGAGGCCAATACCATCTAGCACCCGTGCGAAAGAAAAGGAACCATACATGCAGAAGGTGACTCTTTTCCACTCATTTCCGTAGGAAGAAGTACAAAAACTTCGATGTACAAACCATGCACGTCTATCTCAAGGAACGACAGCATGAAAAGTGAGGTGCAAAAGGTTGTCGGCTAGAGTTACCTGCTTTTGCCGGTAGGGGGCCCCTCGGGGGTCCTGTAGGGGTGGTCTCTCAAGTCAAAAACGAGTATTTTGTTTTGTTACAAATGTTGTAGGTTTATAAAATGGACATTTTAGTGCTTATATGTACCCCAAGGAGGACTTCTTCTGAAAAGAACTATTAATTTTAATACATTATCAACTCCTGAAGCACTTACCAGAATCATGTCTAGAAACTCTTTTAAATATGTTTGATGATATTTGGACATCAGGTAAATTTCCTCCCTCATGGCGTGACGCTATAGTAGTACCAATACCTAAACCTGGACGTGATCATACGGATCCATTAAATTACCGACCTATTTCACTAACTAGCTGTGTTTGCAAAACCTTGGAACGAATGATAAATAATCGACTTGTTTGGTACTTGGAAACAAATAATAACCTTTCAACAAATATACAATGTGGTTTCCGTAAAAACAGAAGTACTGTCGATCACTTAGTGCGTTTAGAATCATTTGTTAAAAACGCTCTAATTAATAAACAACACGCTGTGTCTATCTTTTTTTATCTTGAAAAGGCATATGACACTACGTGGAAATATGGCATTTTAAGATATTTACATGGCTTTGGATTGCGAGGCCGTTTCCCTCAATTTATTGCCAACTATTTAAATGACAGACAGTTTCAAGTCCGCATGGGTTCAACCCTGTCTGATCATTACAGTCAGGATCAGGGTGTCCCACAGGGCAGTATTTTGTCTGTCACACTATTTAGTATAAAGATAAATAGTTTATCAAAAGTTTTAAACGATTCAATAGATGGATCGTTATTTGTGGATGATTTTAACATTTCTTGTCGTGGTAAAAATATGCATACTATTGAACGGCAACTGCAGTTGTGTTTAAACAAGATAGACAAATGGTGTCTTGAAAATGGCTATAAATTTTCTAAATCGAAAACTAATTGCATACATTTCTGCCGTAAATACAAACCACATAAAGACCCTGAACTATCTCTTGATGGCACTCCCATCACAGTTGACAAGGAGGCCAAGTTCTTGGGTCTAATTTCTTACTCACACTTTACGTTTGCCACATAATAAATCCCTTAAAACTAAATGCCTGAAGGCACTTGACTTGTTGAAAGTGGTTTCAAATTTTAAATGGGGAGGGATCAAGCTACCCTCCTTAATCTCTATCGATCACTGGTCCATTCCAAACTTGATTATGGCTCCATCGTATATGGTGGAGCCTGCAAAAGCAACCTAAAACTACTTGATTCTGTCCACCACCAAGGTCTAAGACTTTGTCTTGGCTCTTTTAGAACTTCTCCTGTTGACAGCCTCTATGTCAAGGCAGATGAGCCATCTCTTGCACAACAACTGTATCAAATTATCATTACAATATATTACTAAACTGTACTCCAACAAATCTAACCCTGCATATAACTGTGTCTTTCATCCCCTCTATGAGGATTTATACAACAACAAAAAATCTTCTCTTGTTCCACCTTTTGGGCTAAGAATTAAACCATTCATTTCTGCTGCCAGCTTTTAGCTGGAAAATATAGCTCCTTCCTGTCTTCTTTCTTCTCCTCCTTGGCAACTTGTGAGGCCTGAAGTTGACCTAACTCTGACAAAGTTTAAGAAATCTGAAACTAATGAATTACAATATAACCAAGAATATAATCAATTAAAGACTAAATATAATACATACAAATGCTTATTTACAGATGGGTCCAAGGATGGTGGCGCGGTGGCATGTGCCGCTGTTATTGGATCCAGAACAATATCTTCTCGACTACCAAATAACAGCTCTATTTTCACAGCAGAAGCTAACGCCATATTAACAGCTCTTAAATATATTAATAAACACCGTAAATATAAACAATACATCATCTTTTCCGATTCTCTTTCGTGTCTTCAGGCTATTAAAAATCTTTCTTGTAAACATCCACTTTTATTAGAAATTATTGAATTGTATAATGAGCTTGCTACTGGCCAATGCGACATCGTCTTTTGTTGGTTACCCAGCCACGTTGGCATTTCTAGGAACACAATGGCCGATCTTGCTGCTAAGGCAGCACTCAAGAAATTTGTGACACCACTTCTTATTCCATACTCTGATTACAAAGCTAGCATTAGAACTTACATCCGGGGGATCTCATGCAGAAGAAGTGGGACACCCAAGTAGGTATTAACAAATTATATGTAATAAAACCCTACATTGGTTACACCTATTTGGGTTGTCCGATCAGATTTGAAGAGGTCATCATGCGACAATGTCGCATTGGCCATACAAGATATACTCATGAATATTTGTTAAAAGACGAAGATCCTCCATTTTGCATCCCTTGTGATGAAAGAATCACGGTCAAGCATATCTTGCTTGACTGTGTTGAATATTCCACAAGGGATAACTATTTCAAATCACGATCTATGAAGGATCTTTTTAATAATGTAAGTTCTCATTTAATTATTACATTTTTAAAGGCATTAGATTTGTTAACTGATTTGTAAATAGATAAATATTTTATGATTGAAAGTTTAAATTAATAACTCAGATTGTTGGTGGCTGTACCCTCAAGGGGGGTTAAAGTACTGTAAAGTTATTGTCCTCCTGAGAGGGTATGTAAGTCCCAAAACTTTCAAAGTACAATTATACTTACCAACTTTTTATCCCACCGGCATGTAATGCGGTTGGAAAAAGTCGTCGTCTCGTCCGTCCGTAATCATTTTGTTTCCGGAGCATAAAATGAGCATAACTCAAAGACCGTTCGATATTTTTCAACAAAAATTGGTAGATATGTCAACCATAACCTAAGGTGGTGCCTTTTGCTATTTACAGATTATTGTCATTTTTATTTTTCTCGGTTTCCATGGAAACGTTTTGGACTTAGTCTTAAAGAAGGGTGGGCTTCGTTTCCGGAGTATAACTCAAGAACCGTTCAATATATTTCAACAAAACTTGGTAGATATATCAAACAGAACCTTAAGTGGTGCCTTTTGCTATTTGCAGATTTTTGGCATTTGTATTTTTCTCGGTTTCCATGCAAACGATTCGGACTTAGTCCCAAAAATGTGAGGGGTGGGTTTCAATTCCGGAGCACAACTCGAAATCTTCTCAATATCTTTCAGCAAAACTTAGCAGATATGTGAGTCAGATCTTGAAGTGGTGTCTTTTGCTATTTGCAGATTTTTGTCATTTATTTTTTTCAGGATTTCCATGGAAACGATTTGCGATTAGTCTAAAATCACGCTGGACTTTAAGTAACTCTCAGATGATTTGTTCTTTAAAAAATGTGGGGGCCGGGGGGATATGTCATCTTGTGATGACTCTTGTTTAAAAACGTTGTATTTTTGTGATTTTAATTTTGGCTAAGTTTTCCTACAATTGCCAGCGGCTGAAGGGATGATGTAAATCCAGCTAGGGTCCATGCAGGTAGCAAAGGTACTGTAAGTCCCCATGGTCCCTAGTATGGTGATCAGCCTTCAGTTGCTGGTGATCTATAGCCCTGTTTGATATTGTTTTGTTGTCTATAGTGATATATTTTTATGATAATATACTAGTTTTAATGTAAGAGCTGTTATATTCTAGTAGTTTTACTGTCCTGGATGACAGGTTTTTATTTTCTCAATTTATTTTTTATTGATATGAATTACATTGTTCTGGTCACGATATGGCTGAGATAATGCCGATGTGACGTTAAATCTTAACTCACTCACTCACTCATTGCTTTCCAAAATTCCATGGGGTGGTAGGGTAGCCTAGTGGTTAAACCTTTGGCTTGTCACATTGATTCCCCAAATAAGAAGTGACTATTGGGATCGGGTGGATTTGGCTGACACATGTCATTGTATCCCAACTTGTGTTCAAGATTCTAGCGCCTCTTGTTTTACCCAGTCTTGTGTTATAATGTCCCCAGTCACCTGGCAACTTGGACTTGTGGAGAGAGAGATCAACGAGATACTGCGAGGGCACATGTCACCACGGAGAAACCAGACCAAGAAGCCAACATCCAGAAACACAACGGCAGATGCAGATGGGAGGACGGCAGTGCAGCAGAGAGACATCGACAAGGAGGATGTTTGTCCAATATGCCAGGAGGAACTACTTGATAAACGCCTCCCAGTCACTTATTGCAAGTAAGTGTTAACAGGAGGAACTACCCAATAAATTTCTTCCAATCACCTACTAGTTCATTTTTCACAGGCTTTTTGATGAGTACCTACATGTTGAACCTTCATACGCAAACCTTTATTCATTCATTCATTCGTGTAGATTGATGCTCATGCTGTTGATCACTGGATTATCTGATCCAGACACGATTATTTACAGACCATGTCCATATTTGGAATACTGCTGAATGCGGCGTTAAACAAAATCCAACCAACCATCAGTCAGTCAGTCAGTCACTTTTTCCAAATTTGTTTGTCTGGATACATCTAGACGCGCATCTACCAGAAATTGTTGTTAATAGCTTAAAAGCCATGAAGATCCGGGTTAGAATTGGTCTTCAGCAACCCATGCTTATCATAAAAGGCAACTAACAGGATCAGGTGGTCAGGCTCGCTGACTTGGTTGACAGGCTAGAATGCATTATACTGGATACCTAGCAGGGTCAGGGGTTAGGGTTAGGTTAGGGGTTAGGGTAATTTTCATCTCAGTTTTATATGTTTTCACCTTTCCGTGCTCGCATCACATGACCTAATTAAATATGGCAGGCAGGTATCCGGTATAATGCATGTGTACCGGTTGACACCTGTCATTGTATCCCAATTACGTAGATTGATGCTCATGCTGTTGATCGCTCAATTGTCTGGTTATCGATTATTGATTGTCGATTATTTGCAGACCGCTGCTGTATAGCTGGAATGTTGCTGAGTGCAGCGTTAAACAACAAACCAAATGAAACCTAGCAGCTTAAAATGCCAACTGTAGCTCTCCAGCCATTCTTCATCAGCTTTTTTCTGCTGTGGTGGTGGAGTAGCAACTTGGTTTAAGCAGAGGCCCAGATAAGCTGCGTATCCGGGTAAAATACGCATAGAATGACGTATAAAAAAATAACTGTTGCGTACCAATTACGCATTTACAATGTTAGATAGGCAAAAAGTTTAAAACAAATGCGTACGAAATATATTTATAAAAATTGCTTACGTAATGAAAAAGACATCGATTGCTATCAAGTTGTACTGTTAGTATAGGACAAGTGTTGTAATGTCAGTATAGGATAAGTGATTTTTTATGAAATAATTTCCATTATATTTAAGTTGGTTTTGATTAGGTATGACATAAGGCAGAACATACCTGCTTAGTAAACTTACTCAATGACGTAATACTTAGGTGAGTAAAGTGACTGAAATAAGCACATATTTGAAAGCAGTGGGTAGCGGAAAATGAAATACCCACTCAACATTCATAATACCCACTCCAAAAAAATACAGTGTGTACAGTACCCACATGAGCTAAATCTTATCTGGAGCTCTTTTTAAGTATCTGCTACTGCTAGGCAGTCCAAAGGCCTAAGTTTTGAATCACCAGTTGAGCACAGAGTGTGAAGCCCATTTCTGTTGTCACCTACCCTGATACTACTGGGTATGTCACTTAAAGATGCAAAATGTCCAAACTCACTCGTTACTCTGCAGGTTCGGATGCGGGAACAGTGTCCACATCAAGTGTATGAAGATCTGGGCCGAGCATCAGCAGGGTGTCGGGGAGAAGAACATTAAGTGTCCCATGTGTCGGGAAGACTTCGGACCCTTCAATCTTCTCAAACTGGAGATGCGGAATGCTGCAGACAAGCAGGATGCAGCAGGGAGGATGAACAGACATGTTGGAACCTGCTGCAGGAGCTGCCATATTGCTCCCATCGAGGGCAAGTGCTACAGGTGAGTTGTGGATGGTGAGAGCATCCCCTCTTGTACCTGCAAGGAGGACCTAGTGCATGTTACTGCATCCAGTATATAACTGTATCATGATACAGGAACTACGGTTATAATAAAACCACTAATGAAGTATACGACATTATGGATAACAACTTCTTGTTTATTGCATAGAGCGACATTTGGAGTAGATTCTTATCCATAACATTGTATGCTTCATTATTTTCTCACAATCATTAATGGATAACAGCTTCTTGTTTATTGCATAGAGCGACATTTGGAGTAGATTCTTATCCATAACATTGTATGCTTCATTGTTTTCTCACAATCATTAATGGATAACAGCTTCTTGTTTATTGCATAGAGCGACATTTGGAGTAGATTCTTATCCATAACATTGTATGCTTCATTGTTAACTCACAATCATTAATGGATAACAGCTTCTTGTTTATTGCATAGAGCGACATTTGGAGTAGATTCTTATCCATAACATTGTATGCTTCATTGTTTTCTCACAATCATTAATGGATAACAGCTTCTTGTTTATTGCATAGAGCGACATTTGGAGTAGATTCTTATCCATAACATTGTATGCTTCATTGTTAACTCACAATCATTAATGGATAACAGCTTCTTGTTTATTGCATAGAGCGACATTTGGAGTAGATTCTTATCCATAACATTGTATGCTTCATTATTATCCCACAATCATTAAAGGATAACAGCTTCTTGTTTATTGCATAGAGCGACATTTGGAGTAGATTCTTATCCATAACATTGTATGCTTCATTATTATCTCACAATCATTAATGGATAACAGCTTCTTGTTTATTGCATAGAGCGACATTTGGAGTAGATTCTTATCCATAACATTGTATGCTTCATTATTATCTCACAATCATTAAAGGAAAACAACTTCTTGTTTATTGCATAGAGCGACATTTGGAGTAGATTCTTATCCATAACATTGTATGCTTCATTATTATCTCACAATCATTAAAGGAAAACAACTTCTTGTTTATTGCATAGAGCGACATTTGGAGTAGAATCTTATCCATAACATTGTATGCTTCATTATTATCCCACAATCATTAATGGATAACAGCTTCTTGTTTATTGCATAGAGCGACATTTGGAGTAGATTCTTATCCATAACATTGTATGCTTCATTATTTTCTCACAATCATTAATGGATAACAGCTTCTTGTTTATTGCATAGAGCGACATTTGGAGTAGATTCTTATCCATAACATTGTATGCTTCATTATTTTCTCACAATCATTAATGGATAACAGCTTCTTGTTTATTGCATAGAGCGACATTTGGAGTAGATTCTTATCCATAACACTGTATGCTTCATTATTTTCTCACAATCATTAATGGATAACATCTTCTTGTTTATTGCATAGAGAGTGACGTTTGGAGTAGATTCTTATCCATAACATTGTATGGTTCATTATTATCTCACAGTCAAACAATTAACTCTAATCAATTTTGGATTTAGTTTGTTATGACTGTAGTTTGTTATATGCAGCTCAGGTGGAATATACAGCAAGTGGCCATGACCTAAGATGAAGTTGGTTACAACCATCATTTCATTACAATACAAGTGTGTTCTTAAAGGCACAACATCACATTCCTCTAAAAATATATAATGCTTTTCTCTCAATAATACTAACTCTCAGACCTGAGGGAAACTATCATATAATTTATTCCAAACACGAAAACATATTTACATTAGTATATTAAATTTAAAAGTTTAAATGAATTAATGCATTATTGCGTTAAATCAACTCTTGCACCCTCTACCGGCCGAACATTATTTGTGAATCCCAGAGAGTTATGTCCCTTGGAACGCTCTTTACTAATATCCTACACACAACTTGTGATTGAAACTGGTTCGGCAAACACCGACAGCACTGCATGCAACAGTTTTCGATGTACAGAGCAATTGTTTACATTCCATATATGGCAAGTGTTCTCTGTTTTGAAGCTATTCGCCTCAAAGTTTCAATTGTCGACTTCAGGCAAGTCGTAAGGGATAATAAGTGTGACATTGTGCCTTTAAAACATTGTTTACTGTCTTGTGTGAACATTTTGTCAATTGTTTAGGGACTGTTCATAATTCGGGGGGTATTATGATGCTCTTAGGGAGGGTCGACCATTTTGTTCTAGGGAGGTGGAGGGTGTCAGCAGTTTTGTACACATGTACCGGGGTCAGCAATTTTGTACATAAAAATATCCAAAAGTATGCTTAAAAATTATGGGAAGGGGTGGGGGTCATTGATTTTGTACATGACATGCAGGGGGTCACTTACTTTGTACATAATCTTAGAGGGGGCATTTACATTGTATATGATTCTCCATAAAAGCATCATCACCACCCCCACCCCCACCCCACCCACCCCTAGCCATAAATTCTGAACGGTCCCTATGGCTATTGCAGGGTGGAAATAACTTTAAAATTGCTATTGTACTCGGTACAGTGGCACATGTAAAATCACTTGCCCTGATCATTTTTCCACTATACCGCCATTTCTTGTTGATTTTTAAATAAACAACATAATTAAAAAATTACATTTTCATCAAGCTTTTGATAATATGATATTCTGTTAATAAGCTGATTGTGGCATCAGCTGAACAAACAAGAGAAAAGTACTTTGTCTGTGAAAATTGTGAATTTCATTATTACTCCTTACTTTGTAATTGGGACTACCTGTGCAGAGATCCTTTCCTTCCTGATGGATTTGATGGGTATAGAATACATTGGTATTGAATCTTCCTATATTTCCTCAACAGGTGCACACACTGTACTGAGTATTATCTGTGTCAGTCCTGCTTCAACACACCAACACACACACAGCATTCCTTCGAATATAGACATGTGAGTATACTTGTATATGAACTCTTTTAGCCATCTGTGTAACCATGGTAACATGATTAGTTCATTTTCTAGAACACTGATTTATTGCCACCCAAAGAGAACTTGATTAATATTGACCAGTCTGTGCCCCAACTATAAGCATAACAATCCACTTGACATCATCTTCAATGTTAATGCATGGTTGGTTGTTGTTTAACGCTGCACCCAGCAATATTCCAGCTACATGGCAGCGATCTGTAAATAATCCACTCTGGACCAGACAATCCAGTGATCAACCAAGTCAGCGAGCCTGACCACCCAATCCTGTTAATCGCCTCTTGTGACAAGCATGGGTTAAGACCATTTCCCGCCATTGATGTTGCTGGAATATTGCTTAAAGCGGTGTAAAACCAAACTCAGTCAGTAAGATCTTTTCTAACCCGGATCTTCATGGGTTGTATGGAGTTTTGAAAAAAAAAAACATATCTTAAATGTAGACTTTTCTTTTGGTAAATTACAAATATTGTTCAACTTAGTTTGTGTCTCACTTGTTTGCAGAAAAGAAACCAGAGATGGCGTCCAGCTGAGCGTATGTTTGGTGCTTCAGTTCCACGGGCCGTGGCCACAGACATGATGAACAGAGAGCTGTCCGCCACCGACTATGACATGCTGCTACAGCTGGACAAGTCAGTATATATATGATAATAATAACCTAGTCGTCTTTCTTATTGATCCTCTGGACCAGTAACCCATGAAGATCCGGGTTAGAATTGATCTTCAGTAATCCCATGCTTGTCGTAAGAGGCGACTAACGGGATCGGGTGGTCTTGCTCACTGACTTGGTTGACACATGTAATCGGTTCCCAATTGCGCAGATTGATGCTCATGCTGTTGATCACTGGATCGTCTGGTCCAGACTCAATTATTTTCAGACTGCTGCCATATAGCTGGAATATTGCTGAGTGCGGCGTAAAACTAATCTCACTCATTCACTCTGGACCAGTAATTGTCTGAGCATCTCAACTTGCTGATAGACTTGCTTCCTCTTGTTCTTTACGGGCGGTGGGGTAGCCTAGTGGTTAAGGCGTTGGCTCGTTTCGCCGAAGACCCGGGTTCGAATCCCCACATAGGTACAATGTGTGAAGCCCATTTCTGGTGTCCCCTTTGCCTGCATATGGGGCATTGGGGTAGCCTAGTGGTTTAAGCATTTGCTCGCCAAAGGCCCGGATTAACAAGACAAAGGCCACATGGGTACAATGTGTGAAGCCCATTTCTGGTGTCCCCCGCCGTGATGTTGCTGGAATATTGCTAAAAGCGGCATAAAACAAACTCAGTCAGTCAGTCAGTCAGTCTTGTTCTTTACAGTCATACCAATTTGCCATTCCACAATCTGCTGGTCATGCTTTCGAATAGTAGATTTGTCTCAGGAGTTCATGTGACCATTTGTACTTTTTGCCAACTCTTATGCCAATCAACCAATCAGTGATTAGGAAAGCCATCATGCAGCCAATCAAATCATCCCAAAACAGGTAATATATGCACGTATCCTGTGCACCCAGTATTGGACTATAATGGGGAAAAGGGGCACAGTTTACCCAGGCTGCTTTGGTGGCGCATTTCATTGTATCCCGAGGACATGCTAGAATCCTTTAACAACACTCTTCTACCCAGAGTTCCATGCGGCCAGCCAGCATAGTACCTCTGCCACAGGCCAGAAAGATGTGACGATTTGTCACATCTTGCACAGTCCATTCAGTATAATGTGCATATTTCTTATGTCTTTTATTTTTGACGAGTCTACACATCTAAGTAAACATCTTTGATAGAATGGTTTAGTTTCACTGAGAAAATATCCTAAAACATGTAACACTATTTCGATTTGCGTAGCGATTCTTTGTTTACATAAGTTGTACGGCTCCACGTGCTGTCATCGAAGCCGACAGAGAGCAAACGATGCAGCCAGTTTGATATCTAAATATGTACCGTCATAGACCTTACTGTCGCAGTTGTGGAAGAATATATATGTAACAATGTAAAATATTGAAGAGCACGCCGAAAAGCTTGCGTAAGGCCAATCTCTTATAATTATGAATATGCGTGTTTGTTTACAAACAAGAGAAAAGTCATGTGATATGCAAATTAGCCTGTGGTAGTGATGTTATGCTAAGTCATCACTGCGCCGGAGTGTGCTTTAACAAGTGTCTTAATTATGGTTCTTTTAGATTATGTTTCTATGTTGCATTTCCCCTTGTTTCGAAAAGTGGCAATCATCTGACATTTGAGTCATTTTTGTCTTTCCTCCGACATCAAGCTGAATCGAAAAGTGACTGTCTATAACAGATTTGCGGTTTCCAGCTGGTAAATTTTACAAACCAACTGGCTAAATCAACACAAAATTGACTCAATTATCCACACGAAGCGTTGATCTTCCGCTGACCGTGTGGAGTGAAGCGTGAGAGTCCCATGTGTCTTGACGCAAGACAAAGTCTACTAATCTGGATTAATGACCGGTTAGCAGAGTATTGGTCTTGTAGGCCTTTCTGACACTGAGTGAATCATTGCGTTCTAACTGTTAAGTTCTTTGTACAGTCAGAGCAATAATAGTGCAGTATGTTGACATTCAAGTCAGTGAGGCAAGGGTATTCCTTCAAATTAGTGTTGGTTGTCCTTCAAAATTGGTCATCAATGGCCTGTCAACCTACTAAATGTAAGCATTATGCAGTGACAGGCAAGGAAAAGAAAGAGATATGTCTTTACAAAGAACAAAATCCCAATGTAAGCTTAGATAGCATTAGTAAACATTTTGGACAGGTTTGGTGATCATGAACAATTTGGATTTTTCTTGAGGTGTACAGAAACATAAAATCCAAATATCCAGACATTCAGTTATCCGGACGATTTACTCAAACACGAATGTGTCTGGGTATCCGGGGTCTCACTGTATTTATTCTAGTTGTACACATATCATTCCAGTACTCAGCACGCCAGCATGACAAGCGACATGCCAGAAGAAGTGGTCAACACTCTTCCCCTGGAACGTGTCAGAGAACGCAGCAACCTCCTTGCCCCTGGATCACAGTGTCGCGTGTGTCTCCGCTGCTTTGAGCCAGGGCAATATGTGCGCAAACTACCCTGTAAACATAAGGTGAGCTAATTCATAAAGAAACATATACTTGCCTCGCAACGTAATACATGAGACCACAAGTTCCTCATGTAATGGAGGTGAGGTGAGGTGAAACTGGGTTTTACGTAGGCTTGAGAATATTTCACTAAAAATATGACGACGTGCATGCGTGTGTATGTGTATGTGCGGCTGCTTGTACTAGCCCAGACTTAAGCTGGTTTTATAGTGCTAGCCCACTGAGATACAATACTGCAGTGAAGCATGAATACCCCACTCAGACACGTTATACTGACTCCGAGCCGACCAGTCCTTGTTGTACCCATTAATGCCGAGCGCCAAGCAGAGACCAACAAGTACCATATTTTAACGTGTTTTGGTATGACGCAGTCAGGGATCGAACCCGCGACCTTCCGCTCTCGGCGGGCACTCTCTAACCACTACACCACGGAGGCAGTCCTCATGTAATGGAGGGATGGTGGAGTAGCTTAATGGTTAGAGCGTTCCCTCATCACGCTGAAGACCCGGGTTCGATTCCCCTTATGGGTACAATGTGTGAAGCCCATTTCTGGTGTCCCCTGCCATGATATTGCTGGAATATTGCTAAGGGACCGTTCATAATTTATGGCTAGGTGGGGTGATGATGATTTTAAGGGGATGTCACCCATTTTGTTCTTGGGAGGTAGGGGGGGTCAGCAATTTTGTACACATGTTTCTTGGGGGGTCAGCAATTTTGTACATAAAAATACTTTAAAATTATGCTTTAAAAATATGGAAAGGGGAGGGGGGTGATTGACTTTGTACATGACATGCAGGGGGTCACTTACTTTGTACATAAATTTTAGGGGGGTCATTCACATTGTACGTGCTTCTCCATAAAAATCATCATCACCCTACCCTAGCCTTAAATTATGAACGGTCCCTAAAAGCGGTATAAAACCATACTCACTCACTCACACTCACTCACGCATGTAATGGACTTGTGAAGGTCCGAGTTTGGAACTGGTATTCAACAACCCATGCTTCTTGTAAGAGGTGAGGGGGTGGGGTTGCCTAATGGTTAAAGCATTCGCTTGTCATGCTGAAGACCCTGGTTTTAGATTCCCCACATGGGTCTAATGTGTGAAGACCATTTCTGGTGATATTGCTGGAATATTGCTAAAAGCAAACCATACCCACTCACTGACTGTAAGAGGTCACTAACTATATCAGTGGTCAGACTTGCTGATGTGATGTATGTTATCATGTTCCAGTTGTGTAGGTTGATGCTCATGCTGTTGATCACTGGATTGTCTGGTCCAGACTTGATTATTTACAGACTGCCGCCATATAGCTGGAATATTGCTGAGTGCGGCGTTAAACAACAACCAAACCAAACCATGCTTTAACACGGAGACTTACTGAAGATGATGTCAAGTGAATTGTTATGCTTGTAAATTTTGTAACAGACTGGTCAATATTCCCTTCGTTCTAGTTTCACAAAGACTGCATTGACAACTGGCTGCTCCACTCACGGCCGACATGTCCAGCTGATGGGCTGACTGTCTGGAGCCCTGCCACAGGTCTGGCGGATCAGATCGGAGCACCACGAACATTGCAGTGAGTTACACTCTGTATGGGAGACAGTTGGTGTTGTAGAAAATAGAATGCCCCACTCACTCACTCACTCACTCACTCACTCACTCACTCACGCACTCAATTTTGAATGATACTACAAACACAGCTTTTACAGATTCTTTTCCTCAGATACCCCTTTGCCTGCATATGGGGCATTGGGGTAGCCTAGTGGTTTAAGCATTTGCTCGTCACGCCAAAGGCCCGGATTAACAAGACAAAGGCCACATGGGTACAATGTGTGAAGCCAATTCCTAGAGTCCTCCACCGTGATATTGCTGGAATATTGCTAAAAGCGACATAAAACCCCTCACACTCACTCACGCTCTCACTCACTCACTCCCTCACCTCACCTCACCTCACCTCACCTCACCTCACCTCACCTCACCTCACCTGGCCTCGCCTGTGTAAACATCACTGCATTAAAAGACACTGTTTCTGATTCAAGGGCATTACCCATGAAAACTTGGATTAGAATAAATGGTTCACAGAAGTATCAGTCTAGTCTCTCCATGGACAACAGAGATCGTTTAAAGACATTTACCAACATTACCACACAAATATTATTAACAGCTACAGCAAATAGCAACAAATTCAAAGGAAATATACTTCCCATCAAAAGTTTAGACTCACTTAAAACACTCATAACATGTTATGTATATATATATGGTTACATCGAAGATTGATTTCTCCACTAAATTGGGGGAATCAACAGCAAACCTTATGCAGATGAACTGCACGAGGATCATGCATCAAACTGCTGAAAGGCATGTGCAAATATCATGCATGTGAACAGCTGCGTTTTGACGCAAAGTTTTGTTAAGAATTCGCCAATTGTCACTGATTTTTATCAGTTATTGAGCTCATGACAATAATCTTTTCAATGTTATGAATTTGTTTTACAATACATCAGTTCATGTGTAAACAGTATATTTAAACAGTATGGAAAATTTTGCAACATTTAGTTCAGAACAGTTGCCTGAAGTAAGTGGCTATATTTACACTAGTGAGTCCAGACTTTTGATGGGAAGTATATATTCATAGGATCTTCAGATTTCATTTTCATATTGATACACTGTACAAAGCGTACTTCTGCTGTACCCAACCATTAGACAAGTCAGCATTAAACCTATTCTTACTCACTCACTCGAATTTTTGAATACAGGTCCAGACGTCCATCTGATGCCTCGCTACCAAGCGAGTCCGCTTCTTCAAGGGGGATAACTCTGGAGATCCCAGGAGTAGGTCTAGCATCTCTTGGCCAGGGTTCAGTCGGGAGGCAGGACCCTGGTGGGCTGGTGCGTCGGCCTGTGCGTAACACAGCTGTACCCCACCGCCCCCCATCCAGCATGGAACTAGCAGGGGTCGCATTGGGTGCGGAGGGGGAGAGGTGAGAGTCACTCTCATTATTGTTGATGTTACTCGTGAAGGTCCGGGTTAGCATGAACCTTCAGTAACCCATCCTTGTCGTAAGAGGCGACTTACGGGATTGGGTGGTCAGGCTTGCTGGCTTGGTTGACACATGTAATCGGTTCCCAATTGCGCAGATCGATGCTCATGCTATTGATCACTGGATTGTCTGGTCCAGATTTGATTATTTACAGGCCGCCGCCATATAGCTGGAATATTGCTGAGTGGGTCGTAAAACTAAACTCACTCACTATTGTTGATGTTGTCATTGCCATAGATGTTGCCATTTTCATTCTTGTTGTTGGTGGGGCGGTGGGGTACCCAGTGGTAAAAGCTTTCATTCATCACGCCAACTACCCAGGTTCGATTCCCCACATGGGTACAATGTGTGAAGCCCATTTGTGGTGTCCCCTGCCATGATATTGCTGGAATATTGCTAAAAGCGGTGTAAATCCAAACTCACTCCCTCCCTCATGTTGTTGGTGATGCTGTCCTTGTTACCAGCCAATGTGTGTTATGAAAATGGTACCAAAATACACTCATTACATGATCGTCATCTTATTGGCATACTTTGTTTATGTTCATTATATTTACTGAAATTATTCATGTTTGGTGACAAGCTGTCAATCAGATTACTGGTGACAATAAGTCATAATCACTTAGATAGATGGTTGGTGGCCATGTTGACTGCATGTAATCAAACACCTACAACCTGATTTTTACACATTCTGTCAACTTTATTTTTGCCCTGTCCAGACTTTGTTCCAGGCCACTGTAGCACCCACCCACTCACCCAATAACTCACTGCTTATGAGACCCATGAAGATCCGGGTTAGAATTGATCTTCAACAACCCATGCTTGTCATAAGAGGCGACAAACAGAATTGGGTGGTCTGGCTCGCTGATTTGGTTGACACATGTCATCGGTTTTTCACCTGGAATATTGATGTCTGCAGTGTTAAAAATGCTCGCATCCTTCTCCAGATTAGACTCCCATCACCTAGAGATGGAGAACACATTACCAGGCTCACGACTCCTCCAACGAGCCATGCAGCATCGGAACGACCTCGTACACCAGCTGGCTCACATGCAGGCCGGGGAGTCAGGGGCGTCGCAGCCACTACCCACAGCACAGATTGACCTGGGAGATGTACTGAGGGCAGCGGGGAGTAACAGTGCCCCACCAGTAGTGGAACGGAAACCACCCACAGGGTCACAGACACAAGCCAGGGGAGCTGGAGGTAGGGTTACATCAAAGGGTCACAGATTAAAAGCTAGGGAAATAATGTGATGGTGCATTGTATGCCTTTGTTAAGTTTGTATTTTGTAAAACTTCTCTTAAACTACAAGCCCTATTGAGGCTGAAGGGGTCGTTGTCGGCATGGGTACTACAGATATGTACCCCAGGTACGTTTCTGTATACAGAAACGTACCCAGGCCATAATAAGAATACAGAAACGTACCCTAGGACGATTCCATTCCCATTGTGTCGTATTCCTGACTGGAACTGTCATACTGTTGTATTAGATACATTTGATTGCGTTATGTAAGTAATGAGAATACACAGTAACGGATATTTCACGATGCACATGAATACCACTCGGAATCAGTTGAACGGGAACAACTACATACGGTTTCGATTTTGGATTGCGGAATATGGACTCGTCCGCCGTTAAGGGTACCGGACACGTTTCTGTATTTTGACTTTGTTTAGGTTACATATCTGTATACAGAAACGTACCTGGGGTACGTATCTGTAGTACCTGTGCCGACAACGACTCCTTCAGCCCTATTGAGCTTCCAGATTAAGAGACTCTAAATTTGTTCTTGTAAAATTTCAATCTGAAGGTCACTGTGACAGCCATAATTCAGCCATTTCTGCATGTGATGTTACGAAATTTGATACACAAGTGACATGACCCTTTGACTAGTGGTAGTCCGATGATCGAAAGAAAAAAAAATCGATCGAAAGAAGGATTAAAAATGATTATCGATTGTAAAAAATATATTTTGATTAATTGGAATTTTGTTGTTTTTGTACAACACCCTTGAATTAAGTATACTTACCATTTAATTTGATGATTATTCACAAACAAACATGCGCTCAACAGCATAAAGTTATGCGCATTGTAAAATTTAACCACTTTTATTGTTTAATTACAATTCCAGTGTCTTACTTGCATGCGTGCATTTCATTGCATGACAGTATTACTGGGGGAAAACCCTTAAAATTGGTGATTACATTAAAAATGTATATATTTCGATTATAATCGATAATCGTTCACCACAAGTCCTCCGATAATAGATAGTGGATTTGGTTTCCGATTCCCAACACTACCTTTGACGCCTAGTAACCTTGATATTGACCTCTACAGTTGAAAAGATTTTACATTTTGACCATTCTTTTGGATATGCTCTCTGATACTACTGGACAGATGAAGCTGATTTTGGGCATTCCAGTTCATCTGATGAAGATATTGTTTTCTATTATATCAATGTGAGGTTGCATTAACAGGTGTTTTTCGTTTTAATTATTTGAAACCAAAGTTTTAAAGTTTTTAATCTCTTAATATTGAGAACCTCTGGCCACTGGGCTTAAGCTTGGTATGAATGTAATGACTATAAGTAGGGGGTGGGTTGGGCTGGTGGTGGAGTTTAAAATATACAGTCAACACATCGTCCGTCTGTCAGTTATCATTTTGTTTTCGGAGCATAACTGAAAAAACGTTCAATATTTTTCAACAAAAGTTGGTAGATGTATCAAACAAAACCTAAACTGGAGCCTTTTGCTATTTACAGATGTTTGGCATTTTATTTTACTTCATTTTCATGGAAACATTTTGGACTTAGTCTCAAAAGGGAGGTGTGGGCTTCATTTCCGGAGCACAAATCGAAAGCCATTCAATATCTTTCAACAAAACTTGGTAGATAGATCAATCAGAACCTAAAGTGGTGCCTTTTGCTATTTACAGATTTTTGTCATTTCTATGTTTCTTGGTTTCCATGAAACATTTTGGACTTGGTATCAAAAGGGAGGGGTGGGCTTCGTTTCCAGAGCACAACACGGAAGGTTTTAAATATATATCTACAATACCAGACAGATATATCAAACTGATCTTGAAGTGGTGCCTTTTGCTTTTTGCAGACTTTTGTCATTTATGTTTTTCATGATTTCCGTGGAAATTATTTGGACTCATCTAAAAAAATCAAGTCGGACTTTAAGTAACTGTCAGATGATTTGTTCTTTCAAATTTGTGCGGGCCGAGGGGATTTGTCACCTTCTGATGACTCTTATTTTTCAATGTCACAGAATTCTTTGTATCCAGTTCTTTTTTTTTTAAAGTCACTATTGTTTTTTGTACAGTTATTTTGTTGAAGTGTCATGAAACTATTTTGTTCATGGGACAGGTAACCCACGGAGCTTTCACAAAAATGTTATTTATTGATACTAGTTAATGATTAGTAAGTTTTATGAACTGAATGTCTGCTATTGTAGTGGATGCTGCAGAGAGGCGTGGCCGTGGTAGACATCGCACTAACCAAATAGATGGTGCTTCCTTTCGACACAGATCATCAAGTCGAGAGCGGAATAGTTCACAAGACCGACAGAACCTGTTACGAAGCATACAGGTATTGATTTTGATCTGATTAAAGGACATATTACTAGAGTGAGTTGGGTATTATGCTGCTTTTAGCAATATTCCAGCAATATCACGGCGAGGGACACCAGAAATGGACTTCACACATTTTACCCATGTGGGGAATCAAACCCGTGTATTCAGGTGACCTGCAAACACTTTAACCACTGGGCTACCCTACCTGCTCCCATATTGCAAGAATATTGCTGAACCCAGCTTTAACTAACAGTCATTTCTTTTTCAGTAAACTGGGTTAAAAAAGAAGACAATCAGAATGAACTGACAGATATAATAACTGGACCAGGCATACTGTGCAATTTAGTTGACATTACGAAGTTATAATGAACTCATAGTTTATTGTCCTTTGTCAATGTAGACGAATGTCCTGATTTTCATTCTTTAAGGGGGAGGTGGAATAGCCTAGTAGTTAAGGCAATCTTTCAGAAGCCCCGATAATCTGTGCATCCGGGTAAACTATGCATAGAACATTTCCAATTACACATTGAAAAATAATTGTTGCGTACCAATTACACATTGAAAATGTTAGATATGCAAAAGTTTTAAAACAAATGCGTCCGGAATATATTCATACAAATCGCTTGCGTAATGAAAAAGACATCGATTGTTATCAAGTTGTACTGTTAGTATAGGACAAGTGTTGTAATGTCAGTATAGGATGGGGGATTTTTTATGAAATCATTTCCATTATATTTAAGTTGGTTTTGATTAGGTATGACATAAGGCAGAACATACCTGCTTAGTAAACTAACGGAAAATGAAATACCCACTCAACATTAATAATACCCACTCCAAAAAAATACAGTGGGTACAGAAACCAAATGAGCTAAATCTTATCTGGAGCTCTGTACGTTCATCACACTGAAAACCCGGGTTCGATTCCCCACATGGGTGTAATGTGTGAAGCCCATTTCTGGAATATTGCTAACAGCAGCGTAAACCTAATCTCAGTCAGTCAGTCAGGCTAAAAAACGGAGTAAAACTAAATTCACTCACTCAGTTCCTGAAAATGAATCATATCAGTATTGCGGGGGATATAGAAACGAGTTCTGTCTGTCCGTGCGTCACAATTTGTCCAAAGCATATCTCCTAAACTATTTGTGATAGCTTAACCAAACTTGGTACACATGTCTACCATAATCCCTAGATGTGCCTTTTGGGGGTAAGACCCAGATACGAATTTTATTGTTTGCGGTTTCCGTGGAAACTTGACTTAATCCGTGACTATGAGGATGTCATCTTGTCCGGAGCAGATCTTCCAAACTATACGTGCTAGCTTCATCAAACTTGTTACACATATCAAGCATGATCCCTAGATGTGCCTTTTGGGGGTTAGACCCAGATATGAATTTTATTTTTTGCTGTTTCCATGGACTGACTGAGTTTAGTTTTACGCCGCTTTTAGCAATATTCCAGCAATATCACAGCGGGGGACACCAGAAATGGGCTTAACACATTGTGCCCATGTGGGGAATTGAACCCGGGTATTCGGCGTGACGAGCCAACGCTTTAACCACTAGGCTACCCCACCGCCCCTGTTTCCATGGAAATATGACTTAGGCTGTGGCTATGAGGATGTCATCTTGTCTGGAGCAAATCTTCCAAACTATACATGTTAGCTTCATCAAACTTGTTACACATATCAAGCATGATCCCTAGATGTGCCTTTTGGGGGTTAGACCCAGATATGAATTTTATTTTTTGCTGTTTCCATGGAAACATGACTTAGGCTGTGGCTATGAGGATGTCATCTTGTCTGGAGCAGATCTCCTAAATTATACATGCTAGCTTCATCAAGCGTGGTACACATATCAAGCATGATCTTTAGATGTGCCTTTTGGGGATTAGACCCAGATATGAATTTTATTTTTTGTGGTTTCCATGGAAACATGACTTAGGCTGTGACTTTGAGGATGTGATCTTGTTGCATTTCCATGGCAACAAGTTTAACTGGCTGGTAGTGGTAAGCTGATCTTAAAACCTTTCAATACTCTCCTTCCACTTTTCTGTATACACTCCAAAACATTTGACATAATCATAACTAGTAGACATATTCATAAAGAGTATTTTGCCGTTGCGGGGGATATTGATGACTTTGTCTTCTTGTTATATTTGAGTTAGATAAAATGATTAAAATGTTGGTACATCTCTTGTTAAAGGCATTTCAAGGTTTGTACCTTGGGAATAACCCTCGTATCAACCCACCACAAGGGGAGACAACTGGAAACTCTCAGCGCCAACCAGCAAACCCATACAGAAGAAACACATCCTTGTCCTCTAGGTCAAAGAGGAACCCACAGCTGTCGGAACAGGCACAGAGAACTGTTGATATTGTAATGGAAGGGAGCCATATAGACAGCCTCACTCTCAGGGACATCCTTCGCTGATGCCAGTCTTGTGGAAGATGGCAGCACATTTTCAGGAAGTCTAACAGTAATGTGATTTACCGATTTTAGTTTAATTGAGATATGTTTGTAGTTGGAGACGTATTGGTGTAACATATGAGATTATTTCTTTGCTTTGTATTTACTTTTTAATTATATTATTTTTCCTTATCCTCACTCATGCTTTTTGCTTATCTCCGTTTTCATTCGACGGTCAGTGGAAATTTTGAATCCTATTCAATTCCCTGAAGCGATCATACAATCACTCACCCTGAGTTGCCTCCCTTGTCCCCGAATAAATTGTCCCATGTGCCCTGAGCCAAGCTGTTATCACTCTCTCCGTAATTAAAGCCTGCATTGTGACTTACAGGGAAGCCCTTAATGCTGAGAAAGTTTATCTCATGAGGAGGGTGTGGGTTCGAATCCCGGATGGGACTCAACCCAGCAAAAGTACAAGAATCTGTACTTTACGAAGAAAGTGTAATCCCAGATATAACATGTGTTACCACATGAGTACTATGGAAGTATTCCTTATGGAGTGGGTTTCAAGAGAATATTATCCCACTCAGAAACAAGAGAGCAGTCTGTTTTATTTGTAGCAGGGTATGAGGGAGTTTTTCTCCTGCTCAGAAATTATTTAATTCCCAGGGAAAATTTGTAAACCATACATTATATTTTATTAAGATCATGTGAGCCAGTCAGATCGAGATTCTAACATGGAGGTAAGATAATGTCCGTTTGTCTCATTATATTCACTACAGATTAGGGCTGGGACGGATCGAAATTTTCTACCCGTGTACCCCACCTTCTGTTACCCTACCCTTCCCTGATACCCGTTATGTTAATTCCTGACATCAAATTTGTAAGAAATGACAATATGTTCTTCGGCTCGGAGGCTAAAATTTCAAGTTTTTCAATATTGTAACCATGTATTATGTTCAAAAGAAGTGACTGTAATTATGTCTAAATCTTCAAAGACAATACAACCCTTTAATGATGAAAGAATAACATATTACATTGTTTTATCTATTAGTCACATGAACAGGTCCGGGTATTGAGACCGGTACCCGGGTCCAACTCCTCACCCACCCGTCCCGCGTATCCGGGTAACCCCTCCCAGCCCAACTACACATAATAATAATAATAATAATAATAGCGCTAACAATCAAGGCACAGCACATGTCCCTGACAAGCATTAGTGAGGTGGGATTCATTTTCGTTCTGGTTCGATTGTAGTTCAGTCGATATTCCAGTCTTGATTTTTAGTAACAGAAAGGTCAGTTATGTTTGAGAGCAGATGTAATTATTCACATATTTAAGGACTGAGCTGTATATAATAGGGTGAGGAAGTGTTTTTTGACACCCTATGTACATGGCACCTGGCTAACTCTCAGACAGTATTATGGTATCACACCGCCACACCAATCTACTGTGTAAGATGGACAGAATATATTTGTTTAATAGTTTTTACACTGTCAGACGTGTTAGAGAAACATGTTTCGTTTTAAAACAGCTTAAAGTAATATGTTATTGAGTGAAGCAAGTACATTCAAAATATTTTTGTAAACTGCTGATATTGTGAATCCTATTTTTACCATGTTCACTTTCAATGGAGAATATTTTCTATTGTTTATGTTATGTTACTATGGTTACCTGGTCCTGTGAGTGTTTAATACCTGTGATAAGTGAGTGAGTGATTGTTGTTTTATGCTGTAGTCACCAGTATCACAGCATCCTGTACATTTTGAGTCTGAGCCAGAATAGCATGAGCAACAGATCACGGTGACATCATCAGCCTGGTCTGACATTGTTTCCAACTAATCCCCATAGATTGTCAGCTCTGACAACCAATATGGAGGGTTGGAGTGAGTGAGTGAGTATGGTTTTACACCGCTTTTAACAATATTCCAGCAATATCATGGCAGGGGACACTCGAAATGGGCTTCACACATTGTACCCATGTGGACGCACTAACCATTAGGCTACCCCATCACCCATGGAATTTTGACAGGGTTATGACCGCAATACTTTATATGAATGTGTTTATGCAACATATATGAGGCCAAATATGTATGTTTTGTCAAACTTGGCTGCCAAATCTGCTGACTCGAAGAACAGAAATGTGAAAAAAAGGTGAAAAGCATTTGTTTTTTATTCTGCCTATCAGAATTTTTTTTATATTTGAAGGAGAAAAAAAATAATTGTCACTTTCAATATAAGAGAATTCTTTAAAATGCCTATATTAAATATTAATGAATATTAATGAATTAAATATTAAATGAATTTTGTTTAAAAACACGAAAATGCCATTTGTTTTCACCTCTCTTCAAAAAAGTTTGATGTAAAAAAGTATATGAAACAGGAATTTTTTTCCAATCTCATATTTGGCCCAAAAGATTCCATTAAAGATGCAAGGCAATGCCGATAGGACTTTGTCCAAGGTCGGATTATTGCAAAAGTTTATAAATGTTACCTTTTGCAAACCATAAATTATAAATCAAGATATGAATTAGTACGTGGCATGGGTATTGTGTATTGAACCGTTGTGCATCCATGAATTGTGACACCACTTGTTGTTGTTGACTTTTTTCCTCTTGCAATGGATTGACAGATGATGAGAAAATAATGCTTCATAGACTTCCAACAAAACTCAAATTTGTCATGACAAACATGCACTTGTTCCTTATCACTAACAAAACATATTTAATAGTCAGTGTGACAGTGAATAGATAAGTATCCTATTTATTTATGTACCAATTAACTGTTAAATGATAGTTGAGATAGCAATGCAAATGTTTATGCTATGATTAGTTTGTATATATATTCATCTAGTCACGAAGATGCATCCTCCATAATCTCCGGGGTATACGTTCTGATAAATCTCCACTAGTACCCTGGATGCATCTACGGCTCTGATGCATTTTATTACCTCCCTTTGCTGGCTTTTTATCCAGTCAGGTGCCTCAGCTGGGAAGTTGAGCGTACCAATCACAAGGCTTCTATCATCACTCACTTTCCCTTCTTTCATCTAACCGATTAAACTTAGCAACACAATTATTGTTGCACAGGTGCTCTGAAAGAGGTAGAAGGAGTTATTGCATATATTTTTTTAAGGTTTCAGACCTGTCAATTTGATTGACTGTTTGATTTTTCACAGCTGCAACTGCCATGTTTATTGACACTGGCAATAAAGTGACAGTTGTAACGGCTTATCTGATTGGCTACTGTGAGAAGGCGGACCCAGCAAAGGGAGGTAATATAATTATCGTCTCGAGCCATAGATGCATCCAGGGTACTAGTGGAGATTTATCTGAACGTATACCCTGGAGATTATCAAGGATCACAAAGATGTTGCTTGCTGTGATTTGATGTAGATACAGTACTTAATGAGGCATGTCAGTATTATACCCATTTTGATGTACATGTGTGAATTCAGAGTTGCATAAACGTCAAGGGTGCCTTTGTATAAAGTGATCTTAGCTCTAAGGTAATCAGTAAATGAGGCATGTCTCCCACACTCAAGATAAAGTTTTATCTAAGGTAATTGTTAACGATGCACAAATGTGCATCCAGTACGCACAAATGTAGAGAATGGACACAATATTATTCTTTGTACCCACAACACATCTGTGACTTTGCTAAGTTCTGGGTTTTTCTTTCAGAGCAGTTCATCATTTCATCCATCTGTCCACATGATCAATGATTCATTCCAGGCTCTAAAGATATTATCAAAACATACAGTTCCCTACACTGTTCCTTCACAGAACCCTCATTACGCCCTCAAGGACCCTTAAGACTAATAATTGGGGGTCCCTGGGACACCCATGTTTGTAGTCAAGGTAAAACCCTGCATACTGTAACATAGACTTACGATAATCGTAGAGCTACGATCGCTTTGTGCAGCAGGACCAAGGTATGTAAATGTCTGACTTTGGATCTTAGCGCTTAGGCGATCGTAACTACCATACTGTAACATAGACTTACGATAATCGTAGAGCTACGATCGCTTTGTGCAGCAGGACCAAGGTATGTAAACGTCTGACTTTTGATCTTAGCGCTAAGGCGATCGTAACTACCATACTGTAACATAGACTTACGATAATCGTAGAGCTACGATCGCTTTGTGCAGCAGGACCAAGATATGTAAATGTATGAATTGTGATGTTAGCGCTAAGGTGATCGTAACTACCATACTGTAAGACAGACTTATGATAATGGTAGCACTAAGATCGCTTTGTGCAGCAGGACCAAGATATGTAAATGTATGAATTGTGATGTTAGCGCTAAGGTGATCATAACTACCATACTGTAAGACAGACTTACGATAATCGAGCACTAAGATCGCTTTGTGCAGCAGGACTAAGGTATGTAAACGTTTGACTCTGCTGTCTCAAGTAGTGTGTACAACCACAAGACTAGGCCCCATTTCACGACAAAATCTTTGCTATCATTTCTCCCCTAACTAAGAGATTGTAACTCCCATATTCAGAGCAATAACAGCGCTAATATTGCTGCAAATCATGTATTTTTTAAACCTGTGCACACTACAACGTGTAAGGGGTATAAGTTCTGGCTCTCAAATGCTGCATGTGTGGGGACCATTGACCAGTTTACTTGCTACATACATTGGCACTCATCTGTTGAAAACCCAGATATCAGATATGTGATGAAGAATATGAGTTTGGATAACAACTTCTTGTTTATTGCATTAAGTGCTGTTTAACTTGTTAGCTTGATAACAGTGTAAGAATTTATACCAAAACGTCACTCTATGCAATAAACATGAAGGTTTATGAATAACAGCTTCTTGTTTATTGCATAGAGTGATGTTTAAGTTGTTAGCTTGATAACGGTGTAAGAATCTGTATCGAAACATCACTCTATGCAATGGTGTGGGTGGTCTATGGATAATAAGTTCTTGTTTATTGCATAGAGCGATGTTTAAGTTGTTAGCCTGATTACGTTTTAAGAATCAATAGCAAAACATCACTCTATGCAATAAACATAAACATGTATAGGATGACATCTGTGGTCTACTTTTGTTTTATTGTATAGCATGACATTTAGTTTGTTAGCTTGATAACGCTTTACAAAATGTCACTCACTCTATGCAATAAACATGAAGGTCTGTGGTCTACTTTTTGTTTATTGTATAGGATGACATTTAGTTTGTTAGCTTGATAACGCTTTACAAAATGTCACTCTATGCAATAAACATGAAGGTCTGTGGTCTACTTTTTGTTTATTGTATAGCATGACATTTAGTTTGTTAGCTTGATAACGCTTTACAAAACATCACTCTATGCAATAAACATGAAGGTCTGTGGTCTACTTTTTCTTTATTGTATAGGATGACATTTAGTTTGTTAGCTTGATAACGCTTTACAAAACATCACTCTATGCAATAAACATGAAGGTCTGTGGTCTACTTTTCTTTATTGTATAGGATGACATTTAGTTTGTTAGCTTGATAACGCTTTACAAAACATCACTCTATGCAATAAACATGAAGGTCTGTGGTCTACCTTTTCTTTATTGTATAGGATGACATTTAGTTTGTTAGCTTGATAACAGCTTTACAAAACATCACTCTATGCAATAAACATGAAGGTCTGTGGTCTACTTTTTCTTTATTGTATAGCATGACATTTAGTTTGTTAGCTTGATAACACTTTACAAAACATCACTCTATGCTATAAGCAAGAAAGACTATGGATAACAACTGCTTGTTTATAGCATAGAGCAACATTTTAGTTAGCTTAATAACGGTGTAAGAATCTATACCAAAATATCACTTTGTGCAATAAACAAAAATTTGTTATCCATAAGATCGTATACTTCATTACTAACTCACCAACTTCTAGAATGCCGCTCAA